ACTCACCAAAAAAGGATCATCCTATACTCCTATAGTCAACCGCAGGCAAAGATTGGCGAAAGTATCTTCAAGGATTGGAAAGAAAACCAGTGGGAAGACTTGATCACCCCTTCTTTTCCGCCACAAAAATCCGTGGGACAAAACCCGCTATGCAAATGTATTGGCAAATTAATGCACAGATTTAAGTATAGTTGCAACATAGATACACATACGTATGTATACACGGATCCATCTTATTTGGACGCCTCTGGACTCTAACGGCTGAACATCTGGGTTCGTCCCCCGCTTCACGACTTCACGAATTATGCATGGTCAGTGAGGGCTGCCTTATGTGCAAACATGTTGCAAGAGGAGGATAGGCTTCTTTCCCCTGTTCTCACCTAGCCTGCTCTTAGTCAGCAGGGTTGGACATCCACAGGGATGTCAAATGCGGAAAATCAAGCCACGCTGGGACCAGTGTCACCTAGGCACTGTGGGTCTTCAGCATGGCAGACCCCCAGGACATAGGCACTGTAGGGTCAGCAGCGGCCACACTGCCAGGGGAAGAAGAGCTTGTGTGGGTGGTCATGACCTTAGTCATTAAACGAAGACATGGTGAAAATGAACCTCAAAGGCTAAGGTTCTTCTTTGTTTTTCATGGAGAAGTGGCCAGTGAGTTGGAGGCCATATCAAAACTCTAAAACCCAAAACTATTGAGGATGCTCTTAAACCTCTGCGGCTACTGGCTTGAAACCATATTCCCCTGCCAAACAAAACACCTGAAACTCATTACATTGAGCACGCACCAGATTTCCGGACCTGCTCGGGCCCCCGCGCCCATGGCGTTCTCTGCTTGTTGCTGGGCGGCGCGCGCCCCAGGAACGCACACAGGACAATGCAGTTTTTGCTGTCCACTAGTCCTAGGGATGGAGTGTTTGACACATGTGCTATATAACTATTACAAATCTTTGCTAGCTCAAAATCAAAAACCTTTTCAGCTGGCGGCTCAAAGTCAGGGAATACACCAAACAAGGACCAATGACCAATGTGCCAAAAGGCTTAAACCCCGCCGAAACTGGTCATGAGAGGAGCCACTCGTGCGGGACAATGCCAAAACAGTCTTGGATGAATCTGGGGTGTCTACTTCAAACCGAGAAGCTCCACTTCAAAGTGTCCCAACCGACCAAAGCGCTAAAAATTCCCACCAAGGTGTCGCAACTCCGAGTCGTCTCTACGGCGACGTCACGTCTCGGTGCCACGTCACGTCTCGACGTTTTGGCGCCAAGCTGCCGGCCTTCCCACACCGGGCGCAAACCTGGATGGGCCATGAGCCGTTTCGAAAGGATGCCGTTTCTGGAGACCAGCCGAGACGTGGCTAACTTCTATAGCTGATATCATTGTCAAAGGAAGTTTAGTGTACGAAACTTCCGTGTTACGGACATTCAAGAACCACTCATACACCACT